TTCTCTCTCAGTGAAGAAATTGTATATTTCAAACTAGATGGCCTGTTTTCCCTTTCTGACTTCTTTTAGTTGGAAGTCAATGATCATTTGAATAATAGGAGCAGCAGGGAAGTCCATGCATATGATTCCAAGGCGCTGGTTCAGGTCTGTCTTGTTCCTCAGGTAGTCGTACAGTTGTGCATTGATGCGCTGAGCGACGGCTCCGGGGTACGCAAACACGCCAGCTCCACTGGTATAGGTGAGAAAAATCTGGGCCTTGTTTCCTGCAGGTGCCGCCTCCAGGTGCTCATAGACCCGCTGCCATTTCTCCTTCACATGCAGAATTGTGGGTACCTACAGGGAACAGCGGATAAAGAATAACTCAAAAGCATTCATTTCAATTCTATGAGTTGTTAATTAGTATCACTTATTTAAGATGCAGGCACCCACAGCTTTATGTTTTGAACCTGTTCACCAGATGTTTTTATACCTTTTCAAATGTACATGGCACAGTTTGATTATATAGTGAAATCTAATTAAGAAATTGAATCATAAGTGTTTATACCTTCCAATGATCAGCTATGTCCAGGGAACCATAGCGCATCCCTAAGTCAGGCCCATAAAAGTCTTGCAGGATGATGAGTTTCCCTCGGGTCTCTCCCATCGTTGGCACGAGCCGACTGTGCCACAGCAAGTCCCAGTGAGCATAGCGATGGATGTAGTCTACCACAGCACCGTAGATGTTGTACGTCTCACTTAACTCCTCCCTTATACGCATCAGCACTGTCTCATTGGGATACTCTTGAAGGAACTCAGCCACGTGCTCCAGCACCTGGCCAAAGTGAGCCCGCTGATAAGACACCCCGTGATGGATGGTGAGGTTCCCCTTGTCGTGACGGACACGGATGTCAAGGAAGCGGACGCCGGCTCGAAGCTGGGAGGCCAGGGTCCAGGTCTGGCACTCAGCGTACACACCGCCATACCTGGCCATGGTATTGTGCGTGCCAGGCATGGAGACCTCGGACAGCAACTGATCATCAGGGATGCTGGCCATCCAGGATGGGTTGAGGAATTCCGGGTTGGGTGTGTCATCATAGTCGGGTCTCTGAATGGCACTGTGACTCAAACCAAGGAAACTACAACAGAACAGAGATTTGCCAGAGGCCTCTGTAGTAAGTGCATCAATTTTGCAATCCCAACCACCTCCTATGGTTTTCAAAGGAGATTTTTCTTGTTCCCAGAGAATGTCCTCCTTAACGTTCATTATATGGGTATGGGATAAAGCCATTAATTATTAATGGTGATAAAACTACATGCTTTGCTCTACCAGCCAGTAAAAGTCCTTTATTCCCCTACTATCCATCTTCTTCATGTGTATTTTATTTTTCAGATATTTCTGGATATTGAAATGGATGATATATTGATATATTAATTTATTAATGTGTTTCACACTTTTTACGCTCATAGCCTTCGATTATTTTAGCTTTTCTTTTCTTTCCCATATCCATTGTGTGTGTTTTTTTGACCTGAGTGAAGAGCTGCTGCGTAAAACTGCACTTGAGATAAATAAAGTTTGTTTCAACCGAATTGTATTAAAACCTAAAATTGGAATGCAAACAAATACTAATAATGTGTTCACGTTTTCACTTTACTCACCCCACTAGCAACATCAGCTCAATTAACATCTTCTGCATTTTCACTGGACCTCCTCTGATGTGTCTCATGTCTGATCGATCAGTTCAGATGAGTCTGTGATTAGCAGAGGTACAGTTAAGACGTTGCAAAAGACTGTCTTGATATGCCACACCTGTGAGGTGGATGGATTATCTCTGCAAAGGAGAAGTGCTCACTAACACAGATTTTGACAGATTTGTGAACAATATTCGAAAGAAATAGGCTTTTGTGTACATAGAGAAAGTCTTAGATATTTGACTTCAACTCATGATGAATGGGGGCAAAAACAAAAGCGTTTATAATTTGTTCAGTGTATTTATATTTGTGCGTGTATTTGATTCCTGCTCTCCTGATTGCTGGATGTGTAGTTCCAGCTTTAAATGTACATATATCACAGGCAGGCAGCACAATTTGGCTTGAACTTTAGCTGAATCAATATTTGTTCAAAATCTGTTGAGAATGAAACTGATTAGATAGTAAACTAAAATTAAAACTAAATTTCCCCTTAACTATAATTCTCTCCCAGGCTAGCATTTATCAAATAGAAAAAGGAAAAACACTTTCCCTTCATGAAAGTATGTCAGCCAATATAAAAAGCAAACAATCAGTGGAACCAATTCATTCCCGGTCGACCTCAGCTCACCCCTCAATGCCATTTCAATAGCAAGCTTAAACCTTTCTAATCCCAAAACTGAACCAAACCATCCACTGCTGCTGTATCAAACCTGCTGATGTGCTGCTCTAGTCCGCTCTGGTTCATACCTGAAAGCAGAAGGTGTTGGTCCTCGGTTCAGTCCAGGTGCCTGGGGACAGAAAGACGGAGGGAGTGGAGGGATCAGAGGCAAAATGCCACTGTCAGTGTGTTGACCTGGGATGTTATTGTGGGAAATTCCATAGAGGAGCAGTTGTTAGCTCTACTTTACAGAGCAGGGGTGGGAACATAGGGGTGTGATTGTGTGCGAGGGGTATTCATTTAATCCCCTCACTTTTTGTGGCTCAGAAACACATAAAAAATCCTCTGACTTTATTCATTTAGAGTTAAAGGTTTGACGGCGTTTGCCTTGCTATAACGTTGCCATGGTACCTAATCTTTTAGTCCTACCTCATGCGTCTTGGGTTATTTTACTTCCTGCCTTTGTGCATTTTCCAGCCAGTTTTGATCTTTGATAAGTTGATAAGTTTCACCTGAGTCTAATTAGCCTCACCTCAATAGTGTATTTAATTTGCGTGGTCCCTTGTTTCAGTTGTCCTTGTAACCAGCATTCCATCTATTTCCCTTGTTTCTGGTGGGTTATTTACTGTTTTCCTGGACCGTCTCGTTGGATGGATTTTGGATTTTCTGCCTGCTCCCTGTCAGATTTGTTTTCCTGTATTTGACTGCCTTGTGGTCTTGCACACTGATTTCCCCCCAATCATTAAATCATTGTAGTGCATCTGCACTGCCTCTGAATCTGCATTTGGGTCCTATTCCTTGTGCTCCTTAGTAACCTGCTTGCTCAACTGTGATAATATGGGCTGTATATGTATAGTACATGGAAAAATCTGCAGATGTTTTCCTGTTTTTGTCTCATATCACTATGCGGGAAGTCAAATATTACATAAGACCTGTCTTTGTCCAGCTGAATAATATTTGGTCAGCTGTTTCTACAAATTGTATATCCATCCAGGAATTTAGGTTCTATGGACTCTGGATCCATGGATCCAGAGTCCATAGAACCTAAATTCCTGCAGTTCTTTTTTTGACTTTTACCACAGCAATGCAAATATTCAAAAGCATGGGTTTAAAAAAGAGCACTAATCTGCTTAAAGCTAATCCACTATGACATTGTCTTTCATTTCTGTATACTGATCATCTATGTGGCATCTGGAGTGTACTCCAGAAAGCAGGTTTAGTGAAAACTAGTTAATCCTGAGATGAGGGAAACTCCAGATTTTCTGTTTCAGAAAGAGGGGTAAGGCCAGGTGAACACTGTAAACTACTAGTGCTTTTATTGAGTTTTACCATAGCAATGCAAATATTCAAAAGCATGGGTTTTTAAAAAAAGGGACAAATGTGTTTAAAGCTTATCCACTGTCCTGCTGTCAGTACCTGTGTCATATAAACAACACTGTTAATTAATTAACATTAATTTGATTGTTGTTTGTTAAAGCCTATTATAGGTTAATATTTCTGAGTGAGCAGGATCATGGTGCAGCTGCAGAATGTAGTTAGACAGAGAGTTTATTTTAAATAAGCCTAGGCTGTGAACAGTTTAACGTTTACTACCCTTGTTGAAGTAGCAGAAATAAAGCCACTGGATGCTGTTGAGTCAAGATTTAAATAGATGTTAAAACTAAAATGTTAAAATACTGTATTTTAACCTCAACGCCTTTTCAAGGTCAAATCAGGTCAAACCCATTATGACTGGATCAGATTGTGTGCCTACAATCATGTCTATATTTTTGATCTATGTATTTTCTATTTTCAGATGTCAGCCCCTGTGTTTTGTCCCCTCAGATTAAAGGTGAACAAATGTATTTAAAACGTAATGAAGGCTAAAGGCTAATACACAGTCCGATTTCACCACTTTATCCTCCATTAAGGACAGAAAACTGTATTGTGTGAACTTATAGACACTTTTGCCTGCTTTGACACAGGCTTTTTTAAAAGATGAATGAGCACAGTCCACATATACATTGTTATGTCCAAGGTCTAGGGGCAACCTGGACGCAACATATAGTGTGGCTCCCCACTTTCTCTTCCCACTCCCAAGCAAGGCCAGAGAACAAAGGGAATTTACAAATTAGCAGTTTTATTTTACTCAGAGTTGAGCAGTGCCCAAAATAACAAAAAGGCTAGGCAAACAAAAACAAAATGTAAAGAAAAGACAAAGCACTAACCTAGGCTTCTATTACAAAAACAGGAGAAAAAGGTATTCAAATCACAAAGGGCTTTTCACTCCTACTTGTGCTGCTAATTGTATGGACATACATATATACATATTTGTGGCTAGAACAAAGACAGACTATTTACAGCAACTGATGGCTAAGGCCAACAAATCAAGGTTGTCACAAACAATACTCAAAATCACTAAGTTGCTGTTTCTCTTTTCACAAAGATTAATAAACACAATACACATTCACCATGCACAAGATTTACTCGGAGTGAACATACTCAGGGTTGATTGAACTGACTCTGATCAGCTGTTCTCAAAACAAAAACTCAGAGTTTTCCATCTCATAGTATAGAGTTCAGAATCAGAGTTTGTTAAAATTGCTTTCTGGCATACATCTGTGCTGTGGTTGGACCTGTGGTTACAACCTCAGTCCATCAGAACTCCCCTAATCCAATCAGCAGAGGGCATCCATGAGTCACTTCCTCCATTATTTGGCAGGAAAGGGCTGTCCTTATTTGACTAGGGAGGAAAATGGTGGAAAGCAGAGACAGACGGCTTCATTAGACAGAGAGATACCAGCTGTTTTATCTCTGGTGAGTAAACATCTGTTTTCTCAGTAATTTGTAGTCTCAGTAATGTGTAATCTATGATCTGTAGGGTGTTTGAATGGTGTAGTAGCTGAGTCAGCGATGATGAAATGAGCATGAAGTAAGTGAAAGATGGTTGATTTGTGTTTGTGTGCGGTTGGGAATCAGGAAATGGAAGAAACAGGCTTGAAAACAAACAAAGTAAGTTCAAGTTAAAGGTGCCAAATAGCCACTGGAGGTTATATGAACTCTTAACGATGACAGTTGAGACCTGTAACCATTTGTGTCTTTCCTGTCTTTCCTGTGTTACTATGAAGACACACCCACTGTTGTCCCCGAGTTATTTTTCCAGCAGGGCAGCACTGAAATGGATGATTAATGTCTATTATTATAACTATGTGAAAAATGCATTATAACTGACCACTCAGTCTCAATAAATAAATAGTAGATTTCTGATATGTCATCTGTAATTCTGCAGTTAAGTGCTTTATTGTAAATAATCTATTATGAAAGTAAAACACAATACTAATTTTTCATTGAATGGATAATTCTTAAAACATTGTGGAAGAACAAAAACAAGTTTCCCCTCCCTTCTTTAGCTGCAACAATTCGTTTATTAATCAATTAGCTGATCGACAAAACAATTGACAGACATCTCTTTTGACAGTCAATTTATTGTTTAAGTAATTTTTAAAACCTAAAATGGCAAACGTTAATGGTTCCAGCGTCTCAAGGGGGAATATTTGCTGCTGTTCTTTGTCTTCTGTGATATTAAACTAAATATGTTTGGGTGTTTGGGTGACTGTTGGTTGGACAAAATAAGAAATTTCAATGTCAACTTAGGCTTTGGGAAACTGTGATGAGCATTTCTTTCATTTTACAGACCAAAGCATCATTTGAGACCCTCTGTGACTAATACTTTAGTTAAATCTCTTACATTGTGGTCAGAAGCGGATGTTACCATGAAGAGTAGGCCTACAAACTAAGTTTTAAAGAACATATGTGGTGCTTTCTTCTCTCTCCAGCCTCCAGACTCACTTTGTGTGGACCTTAACGTGGCAGAAGAATGGCTGACGCACAACAGATCAAGAAAACTGCAGCCAAGGTGCTGTCTTGCGTGGAGAAGGTCTCCTCCTTCGCCTCCTCCATCGACCCCATCTTTGGCATAGTCTCCTCCCTGGTTGGGGTGGCTCGCAAGGGCCTGGTGGACGAGGAGGGCCACCCTCTAGACAAGGACTTCCAGGCGATCAACACCAAACTGGAGAGCATCTCCCAAAAGAATCAACAGTGCCTTAGAAAGATCCGCATCGACGAGGTGAACGAAACCTACGGCAAGTACGAGGAATACATCAAGCACCAGTATGCTGCCTTCAACACTATGGTGGCTCAGGTGAAGAAAGATCCAGACAACAACCAGCGCTACATGGAGACTTTTGAGAAGATTTATGAGAGAGACAAAAGTGACCTGAGTCTGGATGTGTACTACCGTGGTGTGATGGGTACCAGCTCGCTGTTCGGAAGACCCCTGCTGAAGGTGTACCTGGACAACTGTGACGGCGACCGTGTGATCATGGAGCACCGCTGTTCCCACATCGCCCACCTGTTCCACATGGGCCTCATCTCCCTCATGGCCTACACAGCTGTTACAGAGGACGACGAAGACGAAGTGCGGGATAAGTGGGCCAAGAGGGTGGCAGAAATCCAGGAGAAGATGCAGGATGTGCTCAGTCAGTGCAAAGACAACTCGTCCTGAACATAGACCAGCAAGGAGAGGACGTCCTCTGTGTTTGGTGGCTACAAGACTGGGAACAAAGTGTACTCTTAACTGTGGACCAATGGAAAAAACACAAATTATGTTACAAAATATCTATATATACAGTATAAATAAAACCAAAGCCACGTTTTGTGCACTTGAACTGCACCTGCTATTCTTATTGCAGCATTTTAGTTATTGTATCAACATTGTATGTTGTTTTTATTTCCAAGAGACCACTATATGTTTGAGCTGCTTTATGTCAATATATGCTGTAGTAAAATGTACACATTATTAGTTGATCAACAAAATCTATTTCATCCATACCAAAAAACAACAATTTATACATTAGAAATGTCATGTTGGATTAGTTTGTAAAATATGCAATAAAGCCTTTTACCTGGGCATAGCTCTGAATTAAAAATGGATTCATACTTTGTATCCACACAAACATATACAAATACACACACCCCTCTTTTAGAAAGAAGGACTTTAAAAAGTTGTTGTTGAATATACCTAATGAAACAGAACAGAATGCTTTCATAAAAGCAGATAAACAATAAACTTGAACTCCTACAAATCTGATTTCTATTGTGATTCCATTCCTATAATATAGAACAATACAGTATAATACACCACAGAGAAAGATGCCTGTCAACAGGAGCTAAAGTAACAGTGTCTTTGTGGTGTCTAACAATACGTAAGGTAAGTCAAATGATTATGTTATGCAAATAGGCAGAACAATCTCTTTCATTTCCTAACAAAAGGAAAGGTGGGATAGCAGTGATGTCACAGGAAATTAAAGTTAACGGGCCAAATGTTGTTAATTCATAATAAGGCAATGCATTACTGAACAAAGTAATCTCCAAAAGAAAAAAACAGACAATTTCACTAGGAACCATTTGTAAAAAGCTGTGAACACCTACCCAAACTTAACATATATAAACTACACACAAAAAGTAAGGAAATTTGTGTTTGGTAGATTCTTTGTTGTAACAATGCTTCTTGGCAATAAATGTTATTCCACTGGAAAAGCTGAGTATTTCCCTTTTCAGTGGTGCCACATTTGGAAGGAACAAAGCAAAGAAAAGGTGATTGGCTTTGTCAGAGAAGATTTGACAATTTTTCATGGGCGCAACCCACATACTCAGCTCTGCTGCTCATCTTACAAATGCATGTTCCGTACAGTTCCTTACCAAGAAGTATTACAACAAAGAAATAATCTACCAAATAAAAGTAATCATAGAGTATATATATATAGAGAGAGAGAGATTACTTTCAAATGTGAAGACTTGTATATCATTGTTAATTTAGTTATGAACAATTGTTTGGACAATTAAGGAATTAGTCAAGACATTGGCAGATTAGTAAGCTGCTTCCCTAAAACTGATAGTTTAGATGCCTGTGCACAGTCTATGGAAATAAGATGCATCCACATTTTGGAAAATACGCTTATTCACTGTTAGTTGGTCAGAGGGCGTTATTCCCGCTAAGCTAACCAGGCATTTTAGTGTTTAGAGAATTAAATAAATACTACAATTTAATAAAAAGTGGTGTCAATCTTCTAATTTCTGCCAGTAAGCAAATAAGCTATCTTAGCTATTTCCTGTAATAACGTAATCTTTTAAAAAATTTTTTTACAAAACAGCTTTTATTTTAAGTTAAATTAGCAAGTACAACGAGTTTATAAACCCTGAAAACCTGCAGTAGAAGATTTAGGTTGCCGCACTGAGTCCCCCTCACCGCCAGAGTCCCCTGTTGTCCTACCGCAGCTGCTGTAATCAAACGCAACGCGACTCTGCAGACCTGCCCAAACTACAGGCCTGCTGCTATTTCTTCAAGCCGTATGTCCGCTCTGGAAGTTTACCTGGAGGGGTCTCGCGGCCTCGGACTGTTACGTTTAATAAAGTGAAACTCCACGCGAGCTGAGAAAATTGGTGTTACGTGTGTTTGAGGAAAAGTCAAGTCGCTTTCGGTAAGTTTCAGCGGCTCAACGAGCGGAAAAGCGGTGATGAGCATTGTAGCATCCCGGCTACAAATGCTGATTCGTTAAAGAAAAGTTGGCTGTATTTGTTGTGGTCAAGAAGATATATAAACACAGGTTTCATCCAGCAGAACGGGGTGTGGTCTAAAACTTAGTAACGTTATATAATATACGTTGTGTTATAACTGTTTTAAGACAACAGAGGGTTTTGGTTTCCGGGGCGGAACCCCCCTCTGAACTCAACAAGTTGCTTTTTGAACTCAGAGTTATTAATGTTTGGCATACAGACTTCACAGGAGTGTTTAACTGGACTTATTTATTTTCTGTTTCATTTTATTGATATCTTTACAACACATGCAGTCAACGTATGTTGAGTGGGTAAAACCTGAAGCAATCCATTATAATACGTTCATAAGGCATATAAACATTGCTATAAACCTCTATAAAATAATGTCTTATATCCAGTTATAGGGCATCACAGTTTCAAGTATCACAGAAGGTTGTGCTTTGCATGAAAAGTTTAAACATTGTTTGTGTTTATGTATTCTAAACATATCTTAAATGTTGTCTGTTCTGGTTCCTAAAAGTAATAATAAGTTAATTGATGTTAACTGGCCCTGCTAATGTAAATGAGAAATGACTCATACTCACACTCAGTCCTAGTTTATATCAAGCTGAAATGCGAAGTAGTTTGGCATTTTTTGCTTGAAATGTGACTTTTATGTCAAACGTATTAATGGCTCTGATTCTATCAAAGTATCATCACATTACTAATATTTTGTTATTGTGTAAAGTTACTGTGATTTTTGTTTGCACAGCTCTAACATTGATGAAAACAAGCTGGATGTCTGCAGGAAGTAACTAATCAACAATCGTGATAACTCCCCCCTGTGATCTTCTGTTTCAGGGATGCCTCTCCACAGCATTTGGCCCTTGTGTAGGATGTTTTGTCGGGACTGAGAGAAAGTCAGCAGTATGGGCAACGAGGACAGCCTGGAGGATGTGTTTGTTGCTGTCATTCGCCCAAAGAGTCAAGTCAGCCTGAGCTCAAAGGAGTACAGAGCCAAAGCCTATGAGGTAAACGAGTGTGACAACAGATTACCTGTGGTGTCTCAGCGTCTGCCTCTCTTATATACAGTCAATGGTCTCAACCAAAAGACTGAAGAGGAAGCTTATTTTCTTCTGTGAGATATTCAGTTGTGCAAAATGCCCACAAATATGTTAGTTATGTTAGTTTGGTCTTCTCTACATTTTTCTTGTGTAGTTACTTTACAGGTGGACAAGAGTTAACCTCCAGTCCAGTATTTGTAACTCAGTTTCTATGTTTCCTCTGGTTCCCGTGAAGATCCTGCTGATTGAAGTGCCTCTGGAGGGGAAGGAGAAGAAAAGAAAGAAAGTCCTCCTGGCGACGAAGATCCAAACGGGAGGAGACAAATCCAAATCCATACTGGATTATGTTGATGAAACAATCCGACCCATATCCAATAACCAAGGCTTCATAGGTGAGCGTGGGACATTTGTGATGCTCATGATGTTCAAAACATGCATACAGTATGACCACTGTTATTTAAACCAGTGGCTCGCAAACTTTTTGATGCTTTAAAGTAAAGTCTACTCTTGACCCTTTGTCACAGACTGCACAAGAGCAGCGCAGCCAAAGATCGATATTGCCTTTTTAGATGCTTTAATGTGAATAGTTTTAGAGGCATGTAGAGGCAAAACTATTCAATGTTTCACAGTACAAAGAAACTGAATATTTGCATAGAAGAAATGTTTTTTTCGCCTTTTCATCACCCCTTCGGGTGTTCCTGACCTCTTGGGAAGATTGGGAACCACTGATCTAAACAAAGTTTTTGGTTGGTTTCGGTTTTTTAGGAAAGCGTGTGGTGCACATGAAAAAATTCCCCCTTGATAGAGACAACGATGGAAAAGAGGCCTCGCTTTTTGTTGTGCCGGTCAGCGTTAAAGGTGAGCAAAAAACCCCAAACAATCTTACTAAATTCATGCCTCAGATATTGTAAGAATAGTTTAAGCTGTACATACTTAATATATAATTCTGAATAGACAACAGCAAGCCTGTCTACAGCGCCGGGAGCCCGAGCTTCTACTGCTTCCAGGACATTATGCGGGTGTGCAGTGAGACCAGCGCTCACTTCTGCTCCATCACCTCCAAAATGCTCCTGGCCTTAGACAAGTGAGGATGCAGTTGAAAACATGGTCTTCTTGGATGGAAGCTTTTGGGGAAACCGACCTTAAACATTTGTCTCTTTGACCTCCTGCAGATGGTTAGCAGAGCAGCACACCGTGCCTCACGCCATCCCCGCTCTGTTCAGACCAGCACCCGTGGAGCGGGTGAAGACCAACGTCAGCAACCCGGCCTACAGCAGCGAGGGCAAACTGAGTGACGACGGTCTGCACATGGGCTACACCGCTCTGGAGATCAAGAGCAAGATGATGTCCTTGGAGAAAGCAGACATGTGCATCCTCAACCCGCTATACGGCTCTGATCTGCAGTATACCAACCGGGTGAGTCAGCTTGTTTTAGCACCAAAAGATGCTTTATAGATAATGGATGAGGAATGGATATATTTGATGTCATTTACCAAAGATTGGTTGTCCAACCCTCCATTTGTATCCCTTCTTGTCCGACCTTTTGTTTTCAGGTGGACAAAGTTATCATCAACCCGTACTTTGGGCTCGGAGCGCCCGACTACGCCAAGATCCAGATCCCCAAGAGGGAGAAGTGGCAACACGGTCCTAACTGTGTAACAGAAGACAAGTGAGGGGTTATTCTTACGTGAACCACATAGTGATAGATAGATAGATAGATAGTGTTGAAATGAGATTGTGAGCCAGGTTAAGGTGTGAAGAAGTTTCGGAGACTGATGAAGACTTAACATAGCATGGTTTATTGAGCCCGGCCGAGGAGATACAGTGCCAGCATACAACATGTGAACACGTCAAATGCCAACACCAAATCTGAAGGATAACATCTTGTGGTCCCTTTTATGTTTCTCTCTTCCCCCTAGTGCCTGTAGGTTTCTCTATTAGGTCACCTTTCACCTAGAACAACTATCTACCTGATGTTTAGACTCCAATGCTTCGTCATATTGGAATCTCTCACTATCCATAAGTTGTACTCTAATCTGTGGAGCCAGTGAGTTCTTGTAAACATTCTTGTAAGACTCAACCTTGTAAGATTCCCAGAGAACACTGATAGATAGATAGATAGATTTATTAGTCCTTTCGGAAATTCATAGTGTGCCATACAGCAATCGTCAGACCAACTACAAACCAAAAAACAGACAACTACGATACTAACACCTTATTGATCTTTGTGTCTCACTTCTCCTCTTTTTGAGACGTATCCCTTTGTGTCATGACCATTGCAACATTTTCATGACTCCCCTCTTCTTTTCCATTCCACCCTTTATCATGCAGTCTAAACACTAAATTATATTAACAGAATTCTCCGCAGGGAACGCCAGTGGGTGGACGACTTCCCCCTCCACCGCAGTGCCTGTGAAGGAGACACAGAGCTACTGTCTAAGCTTCTGGACAGCGGTTTCTCAGTCAAGCAGCTGGACAGTGATCACTGGGC